CTGTGGTAATCGACTCTGGTCACGTGTGATATATTCAGATAATTCCCGGTTCCTTGACAGACGTGGTCGTGTCTGGTGACATCTAAATGCCAACCTGGGACATCATGACAGAGTATGATAGGCGGTGGATAGGTTATCCTTTCACTGAGCGAATTCCACTCCCTATTGTGCAAGGGAAGTTCGACCCGTGAAGATCCGGGTTAGAATTGATCTTCAGTAGCCCATGATTGTCGTAAGAGGCGACTGACGGGATCGGGTGGTCAAAGTCGCTGACTTGGTTGACACATGTCATCGTACCCCAATTGAGTAGATCGATGCTCATGCTGAGGATCACTGGATTGTCTGCTCCAGACTCGATTATTTACAGACTGCCGCCATATAGCTGGAATATTGCTGAGTGTGGCGTAAAACTAAACTCACTCAAGGGAAGGGAAGTGCACTGGACGCTACTATCTGGAAAACAGACGACAATGTTTGCGCTGCATCGACGCTGGGGTAATCGGCCCTGGTCACGTGTACTATTTTCAGGTGATTAACCTCCCGGTTCCTTGACAGACGTGGTCGTTTCTGGTGACGTCAAAATGCCAGCCTGTGACGTCATGATAGGTGGTGGATGGGTTATGCTGTGGCTACTGGACGCTACTATCGGGACAACCTCTCTGGACTATCTCAAACATTGTGTTTGTCACGTTTGCATTGAATCGTCAATGTTCATCTCCAGGAGATCATCCAAAGAATTCCATGCCAAGCAATGAGCCCAGACCGTCCCCAACTAAGCACGTCTTTCACATAATATGGAAACGTGTGCGTCAACTTCATGAACATGGTCAGGTGCTGCAAGAGGAGCGGAACAGCGGTAAGCCCCGTAGACACAACATGGTTGCATAACACACGGCCGAGACAGAAACGTCATCTTTGGAATTTCCCATATCAGCCTTCAGTATCGTTGGCCTTCATTACGTCCACAATTATACTTCACTACCGGTTGTGATGTGTTACCAGTTCGTTCATTATTACCATACAGCTATTATATTACTGGAATCTAATATCTCTTAAAGTTTGGAAATTGTTTCCGAATATACTTACTTTGTTTAAGAGCATATGATTTACTGAGCTAACCGAGACAACAGTGAGTTTCTTGAGTTCAGACTGGATGCGGGTAGTCGATTGGTTGAAGCGTTCGCTTGTCACATGAAGGGCCTGGTTTCGATTCCCCACGTGGGTACAATGGGTGATGTCCTTTTCTTCTGTCCCCCGTCGTGATTTTGCTGGAATATTGGTCAAAATGTCTAAAAATGACCCGCTCACTCGTGAAGGTGAACAATATTGATCTAGACAGTTAAATACTGTTACGCCATAATGGGAAAATGGGCAAGTGGCTTGTACCAGTCAGCCGGTATGCAATTGTCCTTGTGAGTGCTAATTAAAGCACCAACGCCAAATGAAGTCTCGGGAAGCACGCTGACACTTGTGTATTAACATGAGTGAGTTTAGTTTTACGCCGCTTTTAGCAATATTCCAGCAATATCGCGGCGGGGGGACACAAGAAATGGGCTTCACACATTTTACCCACGCAGGGTATCGAACCCGGTTCTTCGGCGTAACAAGCTAACGCTTTAACCACTAGGTTACCACACCGCCCCGTATCAACATGATCAACAACATGGTGTGGTGAATCTATTTGAAAACTTGGTAAACATGTACACAGCTCACATGATAACCCGCCCATCCTTGTATCTAGTCATGTGCCTTGTTACCAGGCGTAAACTGGGGTTATTACGTCACTGGGATAACAACTCACACCCCCTGTAGTCCAGTAGAAATTGAATTTCCGATAACAGATCCATGTTTATCTAAACTCCCCAGAAAGGTGTTATTGGACACCATTGAATAACAAAAAGTAGTTTTGCATGATTACACTCTTTTATTAACAACTACGTGTGCATCATAATGTTCATGTTGATATGTTTAAGGATTTAGATCCAGTCTGGCGATGATTTGCGTGTCATCACGCTCATCGTTGCTTATAACTTCTATCACTGGTGGCCCGTTAAGATCCGGGGTAGAATAGGTCTTCAGCAACCCATGCTTGCCACAAAAGGCGACTATGCTTGTCGTAAGAGGTGACTAACGGGATCGGGTGGTCAGGCTCGCTGACTTGGTTGACACATGTCATCGGTTCCCAATTGCGCAGATCGATGCTCATGCTGTTGATCACTGGATTGTCTGGTCCAGACTCAATTATTTACAGACCGCGCCATATAGCTGAAATATTGCTGAGTGCGGCGTCAAGCTAAGCTAAACTCACTCACTCACTCACTCTATCACTGGTTTGTCTCTCCAGATCCTATTATTTACTGGCCAACGTCTTACAGGTTGAATCTCGTTGTTAATCGACTCTGTTTTTAGAAAGGGTTTTGTATATAGAGAAAAACATACAAACAAACGCTCCAACTTCTGATACATAGGAACATGTTGTACTTGATGTTTGCGCTGAGGTCAGCAAGTTTCACGCCCGTCTGTAAATGACCTTGACCTGACAAACCAGGGGTTGAAAGCATGAACAACGATGTACGAAGCCATGGTGCAAAATTGTACAGAAAACAGCCAGACACGTAAACTAACGCTTAGTCCCTGAATATATATAATTTTGATTGTAACAAATAAACCCATTTACATTGAAAAGGAGCCCCAGTGAGTTGGAGATTCTGAATCTGGGGAAATCTAGACTTGCTTCATTTAGGGCTTCAGCATTGCAGGGATCGCTTGGCATTAGGGAAGATAAAATGGTTGAGGGACTGTGAGACAGATAGACTGACAACTAGTCTCTGAAATGAACATATTTTACAGAAAATAAAAACTCATAGTAAAAAAATAAAATATAATGAAAAGGAGCCCTGAGACTTTCTTCATTTTCAGACACCCCGAAGCTGTGGAAATCTAGACTTGCCACATTTTCTAGACTTGAGTGGGCTATTTTGGATACATTTGCTTCAGAGTCTGTATGACAGACTACCAGACACGTTGCACATGAACACCCCATGTCAGAGCTTGGTATTCTGATCATGGTGTTTTGAGAAAGCCAATGGAGGGTTCATAGCAGAAAGGGGCGGTTGGGTAGCCTAATGGTTAAAGCGTTGGCTCGTCACGCCGAAGACCCGGGTTCGAATCCCCACATGGGTACAATGTGTGAAGCCCATTTCTGGTGTTCCCCGCCGTGATGTTGCTGGAATATTGCTAAAAGCGGCGTAAAACCAAACTCAGTCAGTCAGTCAGTCATAGCAGAAAGCTGTCACACAAAGCATCCACAGGTCATATTACCAGAATCGTGTAAGTACGCTTTTAAAATGGAATATATCGGTTAGGTATGTAACCTGGGTAATTGCAAGTCATAATAATTTTTCGTTTAGGGCGTTGGTCGTGATATCTCTCGTTCGTCTGATGGGTCAGGGACAGCAGTGATGCATGTACTCGTGATGCAAATAATTGCGGCGTCAAACAATATACAACCACAACCAGGTGATGAATGCATGCCGTTCATTAAATCTGATATCTAAGATTACAGATAAATAACAATATTTTGTAAAGCTGCATGAATCCACCATTGATGCCTCTGTAGGTTTGCTAAGGGCTCATGAAAATGTCGGTATAACGTAGGCAATTCTTATTCTGAAAGTTACTAGTATGAATAATGAACAGAAAGAAATATAAACGGCCTAGTTGGCTTAATGTCGCGACATTTGTAGGTATAAAGCAGGCAGTTCTAATTCTGATGGTTTCTGTGAAAAATGAACTTGACGAAATGTGAACGGTTTAATTGGCGGGATTAAGTGAAATCGTAGGCTTGGTAAGGATATTATAAAATGTCGTTATAACGTATGCAATTCTCATTTTGAAGGTTACTATGAGAAATGAACAAGACGAAATGTAAACGGCGGGATGATGTTAAATTCGTTTCATTTTGTAAACCAGATTTTGAAATTCGTTTCATTCTTCCATGCTGCTCGTTTTGCTTGTACGGGAAAACCAGTTGTCTATATCATGTTGAACGGGTCGAATGTCCAGTGTTCAATAATCATTGTTAACGATGCATCGACTCCGAGAAGTAGATACGGTCAATGCATAACACAGAGTGTTTAGTTCTCTTGCCAATAAATCTCTGTCTCCATTAAGTGATTTTCCACGTGTATGGTATCGCCAACACAATTAGCTGCGAAAGTTCGAGGTCGTTGCTTCTGACAGGACATTGTTTATGTCCTCTCTGTACTGCTAAACATATTGTGAAAAAAGCGTTGAGTAAATATCATAATGGGCGGTCGATCAGCTTCCAGACTCATGTTGTCTCGTCATGCACTGCCGAGTCACGAAGCCTGTCAGGAACTAACCATTTCTCAGTGCTTCAGCCACACTGCTAATGTGAGGATTGGATTCGTTTGCCGTCTCGCTAATTCTTCGGCTTCTAATCAAGAGAATGCAAGGCACTTCCAACGAAGCATCTCCGATAATGACGCCCCAATAAATACCAACACCGCGTGATATATTGGGATTTCTTACTCTCTTGACTTGTTCCGCTGTTCGTGAAATTATCGTCGCTTTCTCAAGCGCGAGGGACATAGCAATCCGTCAACCTGAAGGGTGTACCTTCTCTGGGGGTCTCCCCTTTCAAATTTAATTTCTGTGTACTGGGTGAGTAGTGGAAAATTGGCAGAATGTTTAAGCTCGTCTGTCAAGTGTACGTCTGCAGATTAACTAGGACGGTGACAGGTTGTATTTGAAGCAGACGATATTGTTAGCCAACGATAAGACTAATTTTCTTCAAAGGGAAGAAAAACTTCACTATAAATAGATGAACTTATTGTACGGTCGATGTGGATTCGTCTCAATCAAGGGAACTAACGAAGTTCGGTGACGGCGAGAAAGTCCACAACTCTTACATTCTGTAATTGGCACCAGGACAGACGACTGCAGTCGACAGCAGACCTCTTCCTCGTTCACTGCATCTCAATTGTTCTGGTATATGTATCATGCAGCGCTGTGAGATACTCACGTCTGCTGGAGCGTAGCAGACGATCTCCCAAGGCGGGAACTTCCGCGTGCGCGGTTATGCTCACGGGATACACGAAAGGAAACACAACCATCCATTTGGAAGATGTCACTCCAGTGGACAGGGCTCGTTGTTGGGGCCTACTTTATAGCTGTTGTGATCACGTCGGGGGCTGAGGAATATGTTGTCCGAGACACAGCTTATGGACAAGTCAGAGGCATTGTTAAAACTGTGCTGGGTTCCAAGAAGGTTGAGCGATATTTTAGGGTCCCGTTTGCTGCACCACCTGTGGGAGAACTGCGATTCGAGGTAAGTGATGGTTTTGTTTACAATTTAATTCATTCCCACTGGAATTCAACGTGTATTCAATCAATAACCCTTTCACAAGACATGTGCTTGTCTAAGCGGAAAATTAATGCGTTCGTGAGACTTTCTATTTGCGTGTACACATTTCTCAGCAGCATAATTACTAAGCATCTTTGTTAAGTAATCCCCCTTTTTGTTTCGATAAGTGCGTCTCATGTATGGCGTACTGTTCTGAATCATTTGTCAAATTAAGCTGCCGACATGTAGATATTCAGACGAGGTCTGTAAAGAAACATGTCTAAGGTGCATCATTTCAATTACTCCTTGCATTTACGTACCACACACAAAGAAACTGACAGAGATGAATGCAGTAGCCATAAGGTCGAAAGTCGAAATGCTAGGATTACATTTTGCTAACACGGCAACAGAAAGCATAAATCCAATCAGATGCATAACATACCTGCCGTACTGTCTGTGGATTTGTAATCTATGGAATTTCAATGAATATGATCTCATATACGAGGTTTAGCCTTGTTCATTCACCACGTCGAATGGCAGGGTTCGATTCCCCTCTTGGGTAATATGTAAAGCCCACTTCTGGCCAACTTCACACTCAACAATGTAGGCTTAACTCAGATATCTGGTACTTTTTCACCTTGGCTTATGACTTCACGGAGTCCACTCAACACCTTACATTGGCACTGGACAATGGACCACAGCTTCAGCATCTTCATTATGGAGGTGAATACATCTTTAATGTTTGATTGTATTCTGATCATACGAACCCCATTCCTTTACAGTACTACTAACAATATGTCTTTTGACAGAATCGAGTGGGCCTTTACAGCTTCTGAGGAGTTTATTCTCAGTATGCAATGGTATAAGATGTTCTTGTGTGAAACCTATCTCACATCGATTCCCGATTGGCAGTGTCTGATCTTGTAAACTGACGTCCTAATCGACATTATATCGAAACTAATTCCACACGACGATGGCCACCATGGATGTGTCGCTTTCTCATGCCAGGGTGTCCTGACGTAACGGTTAGTTATCTGACGGTGGAACTCCAGGGTGTCCTGATGTAACGGTTAGTTATCTGAAGGTGGAACTCCAGCTATAATATGCCCATATGCTGTTTCACTCTCATCTTGAACCTTGGCCTCTTGACGATAAATAACGCTTCACTTAATTACATCAACCCATTTACTATGAACGAATGAGTTTGTTTTAACGCCTCTATGAACGAACAGCATTCCAGTTCTCCCACCCTGTGTCTGCTTGATTTCATGCTGGGGGAAACCCAAAGTGACGCAGGTCTTAGATGTTAGCCATTCTGGCGAAAGCTACAAACCAGGATATGGTGCTGACATATTTCTGAAATCCAATCATTTCCGTTGATACCGAATTATCCGGTAAGAACTTTCTGAAAAGATTTCAACAAACAACAGATCCTGGTAGCTGAAGTTTATCACCAGCGCTTACTTTATAGTGATAGGGCGGTGGAGCAGCCTGGTGGTAAAATCGTTCGCTCGGCATACCGGAGACTGGGTTCGATTCCCCACACTGGGAACAGTATGTGATGTTCATTTCTGGTGTCCCTACCCATGATGTTGCCGGAATATTGCTAAAAGGGTCGTAGAACTATAGTCACTCGATACCTAAATACAAATCCTCGAAGCCAGATGCAAACCGAAACATGAGTCTCATTAACCTATTCAGACAATGACCTACTTTTCAGCCGATCCGAATTTTCTCGTGTGAAAGTGAAAATAGACATCACAAACAACTATGGTTACACTGAATTCCAATTCTTTGTTTCATAAGAAAATGGTATTTACAAATGGATTTTAATTTTAAACTTTAATAACATCGCATTCCTTCATTTTATCGCGAGGTGTAGGCAGCATGACCTTAACTAAGACGTCACAGGCAGCCCCAGTTTAATGAGGTCGTAAAATTATTCACAATGCATCTGGCTCACTGGTTACACCTGTTATGTGTTTTTTACTTCTGTAACGCACAATGTGATTGATAACATATCAAGTCCGTACCAGACCGCCTAACTTTTCTAGCGGGAGAGCCTCGTTTTGAGATTTCCACGATTTCCGTTTGTCAGAGCTCGCTCTACGACAGAGCTCTCTGTACGACAGAGCACGCTGCACGACGTGTTTGCAAGGATTAGAAAGAGCGTAGTGTTGTAATATACAAGTGCTTAGATGTATTAAATAATTCTGATTAATAATTATGTATCCAGTTAAATGAATTGGTCTAAAAATTCTGGACTGGTCATTGTACTAAGTTGCGCAATAGGACGGGACCCAGTCAACAGGAAACGAGACTGTTGTGTAATCAATGTTTTGACTTGTACAGATAATGATTATGAATGGCCTGGCGTGTGGACTGATAACCATACGCATCGACTTGAAGGGGATGTGTGTTTAGTCGCCACCGCCTGTCGCTCGAAGATCTACTCTTATATTTTATGTCATTAATGAATATGTTCATCACGAAAATGAAAAGGAAGAGTGAGTGAGTTTTGTTTTACGCTGCTTTTAGCAATATTCAAGCAATATCAAGGTGGGGGACACCAGATATGGGCTTCACATATTGTACCCATGTGGGGAATCGAACCCGGGTCTTCGGCGTGACGGGCGGACTCCTAATGAACCACTGGGCTACCCCACCGCCCTTGTGGATAAAGTGAACCTTCTAGCTACAAATTCGCGGCTCTGCTGCCAGGCTTACGGTAGAATCATGTGAAGACTTTTGTTTTACTAGGATGTTTTCGTAACGCGACCGAGCTACTTGCGTTTGAATTGTTGACAATAAGATCTTTCCAGACAAAGTCTAATGAACAGATAAGTTACCCATAATGAAGGCATCTGATATGATGTGGCCTTGGGATCGATTCACCGACCTTTCACCTGTGGGCGCACGTTCGACCCACTATAAGAGTAGAATCAGTATAAATGGCCCTTTTGTAACAGAACTAAAGCATATCATTGCAAAACAAATGTACTGATAAAACACTAGCGATGGTAAATAGAAGATCCCTAGCATCTTGTTACCGCCATGTTGAATATTTACAGGCAGAAGTCGTAAAACAGCGTTTTTGACATACAATGGACTCGATATGACGAGACGACTGTGAACAGTGATATGATGCCTAATTAACTCACTCACTCTATCACCCAGCTTCGGATACACATTTCACAATTAACTTTCCTTGTTGCGCTGACAGTACATCTGCTTACTGATAGTAGTTAGTCCGTGAAGATCCGGGTGAATCAAGATCCTTGTCTTCATCAAGCCATGTTGTAGTAAGAGCTAGGCGACTAAAGTGATCAGTGGTCAGTCTCCCTGTGTTGGTTAATGCGTGTATTTGTAACCTAATTGCGTCGATCGATACACATGATGTTGATCACTAGTTTGTCGGGTTCAGACTCGATTATTGACACATCGCCGGAAACCTGGAAACCTGCTGAGTGCAGCGTTAAACAACAAACAAACAAAACTAATGGCAGACCTAGTGCTGATGACAGGGCTTCCTTTAAAACACATGATATAGCCACATAACCTGTGCGGACAAAGATCCAGGTTGGAACTGATCTTCAGTGACCCATGCTTGTCGTAAGAGGCGACTAACGGGATCGGGTAGTCAGGCTCGCTGACTTGGTTGACACATGTCATCGTATCCCAATTGCGTAGATCGGCGTTCATGCTGTTGATCACTGGATTGTCTGGTCCAGACTCAATTATTTACAGACCGCGCCATATAGTTGTAATACTGAGTGCGGCGTAAAACTAAACTCACTCACTCACTCACATAACCTGCCCACAAAGCCGGTGAAGTTTGTTCAGATATGCGGACATTTGCTTTCTTTAGTTAGACCTTCCTTTCAAAATCGTTTTATTGAAAATTATGTTATGATTATTTAAACCAGTTGCTGACATAACATCAGACCAAGCGTAATGTCCAGCAGCCTAGGAAAATCTGAAGTCAAGCTCACAAAACAAGTAATCATTTTTGTCATTACACAAAACTGTAAATTCCACATCCGGTTTAAGTAATTCTATCTATTTTTAATCACCCACCTACCCTCTTGACAAAGCACGAACCTTGGCAAATATCGTCAAAACCAACTGTAGATCAATACTTGGTGATTACAATCCGACTGAAGAACAGGATAAAAAAGACGTTGGAAAAATACATTGACCTTGGTTACAGAAGAGCAGTCTTTGTTAGCAGCATCTACACAGACTAGGTTCCACGATCCGTTTCCCTCCGTAAGAAAACCCAACGCTCTTTCCAATACAGGCCAAACCAGTATTAGCTTTCCTCTAAGTATCACGAGAAGCGATTTGTGGTCGCCCTATTAATGGTCCTTGGATGATCTATGATGTAGCACATTTATATCCGGTATGGACAAAGTCATCAGACATCTGATTGGGGCGCCTGGTATTAGCCTAGATAGGAACACAACGCTATTATTGTTACACACTAGACTCGGCGACAGGTCGAGGCAGAGGACTTAGAACGAGATTGCGAATGAGTAGCATAATGAAGGTAAGCGAACTGTAATGACAACCCTTTGTGGCTGGTTGCAAGGTCGAATGTTAGTGTTGCATGATAACACTGGAGCTAATCTGGGCATGATATTTGTCCGAAAGGTGGATCTGTCAGCTCCTGAATATTAGCTGTCAGAAGCGATGTATTTGAACCTTCCAGAAATTAATGCCTTTGATAGTAATTGGTTAAGTTGTTTCACATTTAGGCCAAGTAAAATCCCTTGAAAACGCATTAAAGACAAATTACTCTTCTCGGGAAAAATGTCCTTTCAATGAATGTTTGACAATGAATATGGCTTTCCTGATAATATAATGTTGGATTCTCCTCTTAACATTCTATAAGTAGGCTACTATTTTTAACCTGTTAATTCCAGAGGGCGAGATTGAATGAATGACTATGTTGTCTGAACTGTGGTCTTTTCATGTGTTTAAAT